ACTTTGAACTAAAAAATACGCGATGACTTTTTACTCAACCTAATATTAATGTTTCGAAACAGGAATTAGTATTATACCATTTTATAATTTTCATGGAACAAATACCTTTTCTTTTTCCTTTTCTTGTTTGCATACTACGTTTCTTTCTATTGAAATGTTAGTATGTTTTTGGTGTAAACCTATTTTATAGGTCTTGCTCATTCCGATTACGACTTGTATAATGGTTCTGATGTAAATATATCTATACTATATCTTTTGCCTATTTCACTTTAATGTAGTTAAACTAGCGATTGTAAAAAGTTCTAATACTTTATCTTCACATTTTGTCACAGTATGGTTTGGTGTACAGTTCAGGCAAGGAATTTACAAAGGCGGAGTTTTTAGATTCACTATTACACTGCCTCCTAACTTTCCACTTGGAGATTGTCCTAATAAGAATACTGACTCGCAGATAATCAACTTTACATATAGTTTTTTTCATTCAAATGTGTTTTAGGAAGTTGTGAAACTCAAATATTTCATCCATTAATAAATCCAGAAAATGGAGAATTGTGCACATCATGGGACTTCTCTGAATGGAGAAGAAATAACAGAATTTGGCAATTATTACAGTATATCACTAAGATATTCACTAAACTAGACGCGAAAATGACTTCAGTAAACGAGGAGGCGTCTAGTTTGTAAGTATATTTGTCCTTAAAGGAAACGTGAAAATAATGTATCATTCAGGATACCTACATGTTTGAATTATTCGGTGATATTGCAGACATAAAAATAATTTTGAAGCTTTTCGAGATCATGTGAAAGAGTGCGCAGAAAGGAAAGCGTAAATCAAATATTTAACTCACCTATCATGTATGATCCACATTATATTACATTTAATCCATATGTGAAAGAAGTACACGACCCCATTAAACAAGAGATTTACGAACCAAAAGTAAATAAGTATTTGGGTATATCACTTTCATTGCGATAAAACACATTAAGTTTACATATTTGATCAATTTATCGCACTTTGCAGGACGAAGAAGAAAATAAACCACTGGGTTTGTCGT